TTGAAATAAATAAATCTTTAAAAAAAAAAAAAGACCCTAGATGACCTGGCATACTGCTGCCTATTTGACCCCCTTTTCTACTCTTCTCCCTCTTGCTCATTCTACGTTAGCCACACTGGCCTCTGACTGTTCTTTGGACCAAGTACACTCCTGCATTAGAGCCTTTGCACTTTGTGTTCCTTCTGCCTGGAAGCCCCTCTCTAAGCAGTCTGCGTAAGTCACCGCTCACTTCCTTCAGAGGTCCTCGGAAACACACCTTTATCTCAGGGGCCTTCCCCAATCACCATGTTTAGAATCTATAACCTGTCCCCTTCTATTCCTTTACTGTGCTATTTCTTTTAGCCATGGATACGTCTCAGTATTCAATAGAGTGTAACCCTCCAGGGCAAGGACTTCGTTCTCTTCTTCATCGCAGAATCTTTTATTTATTTATTTATTTATTTATTTTTTTTTTTGACAGGCAGAGTGGACAGTGAGAGAGAGAGACAGAGAGAAAGGTCTTCCTTTGCCATTGGTTCACCCTCCAATGGCCGCCGCAGCCAGCGCACTGCAGCCGGTGCACCGCGCTGATCTGAAGGCAGGAGCCAGGTGCTTCTCCTGGTCTCCCATGCGGGTGCAGGGCCCAAGCACTTGGGCCATCCTCCACTGCACTCCCTGGCCATAGCAGAGAGCTGGCCTGGAAGAGGGGCAACCGGGACAGAATCCAGCGTCCCGACCGGGACTAGAACCTGGTGTGCCGGCGCCGCTATGTGGAGGATTAGCCTAGTGAGCCACGGCGCCGGCCCCATCGCTGAATCTTAAGAACCTAGAATACCATCTTGCACGTTCTCAGTAGTTTTTAAAAACATGAATGACAGTGTAGTCTATTGACTGTTCTCTTCCTATTAATAGAATTAGAAATTAATGTACATGACCTCAGCCTCCAAAGACCAGTCCTCCTTCTGAAAACACTAGATAAAACGAAAATAGTTGTATAACTTAGAAGGCATATTCAGCAGCCAGAGACAGAGTTAGAAACAGGAGCCAAAAGAGTAACAGGAGTGCTGTACCTGGCTTTGTCTTGAGAGCATTTGACAGCCAGGTGATCTGAACTTTGGTTTTTGTGGCTTTGACAAGATCAAGAGAGAAAAAAACCATGGCTGTGGTTTGGATATTGTTTGAGTTCCCCAAGGCTTCACATATTGAAAAACCACCTGGTGAGCTATTCAGAGGGTAAACACTTCGTTCAGATAGGATAGTTAGAGGTGGGACTTTCACTGGGATTAGGTAAGGCCATTGGGATGGAATTTTCCTGATTGAATTTCTGGTGGCTGTATAAGAAGAGGAAAAGAAACCAGAAGCACAAATGTTCCTGTGTGCTTTCCCTTCTCTTGCCTGGTGGTGCCTTGCACCACCTTGGAGAAGCCAGTGATGAGGCCATCAACTCTTGTCCTTGGATGTCCAGAACTGGGAGCCAAAACAAAATTCTTTTATTTAAATAATAGCCTGCCTTAGGTATTTTGTTACAGTGACACAAAATGGACTATCACAAAGACAAATCTTTTGTGTTCCTGAGTTAGGAATGGAATAGTAGCTCCCCACCCCAACCCTCCATTAAATTAGAGCCCCAAAGTTCTTCCCTCATTATAAAGGATGAACTGGATGTAACAGCAACTTATTTCCATCTAGGAATTGCATAACTTGAACTTTTATTGAGTAAAGGGGAAAACAAAAATGTTCATTGATAGCTCATAATTATAAGCTAGCCCATATATGGATGAAAGACTAAATTTACACTACTTAGATAATTTGAGACATCTCAAACTGAAAATTTAATTTGAGGTGATTTTAAGTGGCTGGTACCCTCAGGTGTCAGCAAATGTCAGTCTTACCTACAGGAACTCACATTCATCCTAATCCTCAAAGAATTTGTCCACATAAAATTCTAAGAAATATAACTACCACTCAGAAAATTAATGAACCTATAGGGAAGAAGAACAACATAAGTGACAGCCAGTTGAGTCAAGAGACAGAAGCAGCATAGGGCAAGGCCTTCAAGTATTGGAATTACCATGCAAAGAAGATAAGGTATGTTTTTTATTATTTAAAGAAATAAAGAAAAGATTGAAAATATGGATAAAGAGCAAGAGACTATTAAAAATGTCCAAGCATATTTCAAAAGAACCAAATAAACATCTATAGCTAAAAATTGATAAGATCAACAGAAAATTAAATACAGTTGAGGAAAGAATTATTTTAGGAGAGCTAAACAAATTATTAAGAATGAATCACTGAGAAATTAAGAGATAAAAGTAGAGAGATGAAGATTCAATGAAGATAAAGCTGGATTTCCAGGAGCAGAGAAAGGATATGGCACACACACAAAAAAAGATAGTAGCTAATTTTTCAAAACTGATGAAACTTATCAATCCATAGATTTGGAAGTCCAATATATTCTAAATAGAATAAATAGAAACAATTCCAAATCTGATCACATCATGGGCACCAGTTTGAGTCCCGAATTCTGCACTTTCAATCCAGCTCCCCGCAATGTGCCTGGAAAAGCAGCAGAAGATGGCCCACATACTTGGGCCCCTGCCACCCACATGGGAGACCAGAAGAAACTCCTGGCTCCTGGCTTCAGACCAGCCACTCAGTTCCTCACACATTTTCCTTCTCTCTATATAGCTCTGCCTTTCAAATAAATAAATCTTTAAAACAAATAAATAAAAATTTGTAATTTTTCTAATCGTTTCTTGCTAATGAATACATTTGAAAGTCAAAGCTACAAAGAGGGAGACACACACACACACAGAGGGGGAGAGAGAGAGAGAGAGAGAGAGAGAGAGAGAGAGAGAGAGAGAGAGAGAGGTCTTCCATCTTCTGGTTCATCCCACAAACGGCCACAATGGCCCAAGCTGCACTGATCTGAATCCAGGAGCCTGGAGCAGCACTGATTGGAAAGGGTGAGCCAGGAGCCCCCTTCCAGGTCTCCCATGTGGGTGCATGGGCCCAAGCACTTTGGGCCATCCTGTACTGCCTTCCCATGCCATAACAGAGAGCTGGATCAGAAGTGGAGCAGCCAGGACTAGAACCGGCACCCATATGGGATGCCAGCACTTTGGGCATCTATGCCACTGCGCCACCCCAAATAATTCACTGTATGATTGGTCATGACTTTGGTCATCCCTAATATTTCATAAAACTGAACAAGTGTTGGGTTAGCATTTGCCTGGCTTATCCTTTTGTTTTTAAAGCCCTTCACCTGTTGTTATTGCTGTTGCTTTTCCAACCCCTTTCTGTGGCATTAAAAATCAACACATTGCTTCTATTGTGGTTAAAACACACACACAAGCTACCATCTTAGCCATTTTTAAGAGTGCAGTTCCATGGTATCAAGGCTGTTCACACTGTTCTGCGACCAGCACTGCCAACCGTCTTCCCAGCTCTTTTCACCCTCTCAGACAGAAACTCTACCCTCCCCCAGCCCCTGGAGACCACCACTCTACTTTCTGTCTGGAGACATGACTCTGCTAGGTATCCCATAGGAGTGAAATCGGTCTTTCTGTCACTGGGTTTCCTCCACCCATCCCTGTGTGACCTTATACTTTTTATGTCTCTTACCCACAGTATATAGATTATTAAAGGTTCTGATCTGAAAAATCTTGTTACATGATTGCAGATTTAATGTATTTACACATACTGCAATTAATTATATATTTGAATTTATTTCTATCAATTTTTTATTTTAAAAAAATTATACTTTTTTTTCTCTTTCCTGCTTCCTTTCCCTCTGCACTGATACTGACTCACAAGTAATCTTTTTTTTAGTTACCCTACATTTTAGCATGCATAATTAAATAGAAATGAATGTTTTAATAATATTTCTCTATCCTCTTCCTGGATAATGAGAGAGATTAGGAAGTTTAATTTGAATTTTCCTTTATTTGTCATCTTATGTGTTATGATTTTATTGCACTTAGGTTTTGGGTTATGTTTACACCCTGATATGCTATTTTTGTTTGTATTGTCTATCTTTATTCAGATATTCACACATTTGCCATTTTCTTTTCTCATCATTACTTTTTTTTACAAGATTTATTTATTATTTGAAATGCAGAGTTGCAGAGAGGCAGAGGTAGAGAGAGAGGTTGTCCATTAGCTGGTTTACTCCCCAGATGGCCTGCAACAGCCAGAGCTGGGCCAATCCAAAACCAGAAGCTAGGAACTTCCGCTGGGTCTCCCACACTGGTGCAGGGACCCAAAGACTTGTGCCATCTTCTATTGCTTTTCCAGGCCATAGCAGAGAGCTAGATCAGAAGTGGAGCAGCAAACCAGTGCCAATATGGGATGCTGGCACTGTAGGTGGCAGCTTTAGCCACTGTGCAAGCGCCGGCCCCCTCATCATTGCTTCTTACAACTTGGTCCTCATCTCTGGATTCCATCTCCTTCCACAAGTTCACCCTGTAGTAGTTCTCCCATAGTGCTTTGTCTAAAGAGCTCAGTAAATGTTTATTAAGTGGATAAATGACGTTAATCAAATTAGTATAGTTTAAACAACTTGAAGAATCTACTTTGTGTAGATGGCTGTATCAGATAGGTAGATAAGACACTTGGCCACAGAGGCACAAGGGACAGAGACATTACCTGGTTTTAGTTAGTACTAAAGGACTTCATTAAAGAAAGTTCTTCACATTTTTCTCTGTGCTTAAAACTAGGCTGTGCCATCAAATCCTATAGAAAGCTATGATTTTTCTTTTATGCTGAACTAACTTTTGTGGAAAATTCCCATATTGGTTGGAATTTATTTCCATAATTGATAAATTAAACTTAAATTTTCACTGCATTTGAGGCCCAGTACTAAACTGATAGCAACAGGTTTGAAATCATTCTTACGTGGAATTTGAACCCATTTTCACAATGCTTTGAATCATAACTATTTTATTTGGTGAGTAGGCCATGTATACAAGTGTGATTGTGATTTGCTTGTGTATAAAGACATGTTTCTTTATTCCTTCTAGTATGCAAGGAATTCTTGGATCGATTCTACAACTCCTTGATAGCCAGAGGAGTTCACTTTTCACTGGAGATCATAGAAAAAGAGTTGATCAGCTTCTGCTTGGATGCCAAAGGAAAAGAAAACCGCCTGGTATGGTCAGTTTTCACCTGTCATTTTTCCCGTGTGCTTAAAGAAAATTGCTCATTGTTTCATTTCTCCTCTTGGACCTGGTAGCCTCTCACTCACATGCTCCCCTCCAGCATGTTCTTTGGGGACAGCAACCAGAAAGTCGATTTTCCAGTGAAACGTAGTCCTGTGAGTTTTTATCCAGTTTCATTTGGATTTCTGAGTAAACTAAAGGCAACCAATTCCATCTTTTCTTCAATTATAAAATGGAATTCCTAATGAGAATTAGCTGTGCTAGGCATGGGACGACTTTCAATTTCCTACCGGAACAATGAGTCAAACCTATCAGAACATTTTATACTATTATTTATTTGTAATTAATGAAGTGTTTGTTTTCTTGTAACAGCACTTGTATTATGCTTCCTGGGTATACACATCCACTTGTTTCCTACATCACTAAGGACATTTTTCAGGTCAATTCCTTTTTGCTTAAAATGGTCACTTTGAATTTGTCAGCTCAATCTGCATTGTTGATGACTCACCATTGATATATTGTTGGAACTCTGGTCATTTATTTATGCCATTAAATTTTATTTTTTTAATGTAAATTTCTTAAATCGGGTAGCTTGAGAGGCAGTGTGAATATTGCGTAATGGAATGGGGCACGGATTTTATAATTCTGTCTCTCCTTGCTGGCTGGGCAACCTTCATTTAGTTGGCTTGGGTGTTAAATAGAGATATTAATAGTACTTACTTCACAGGATTGTTGTGAACATGAAATAAGTTACTACCTTTAAAGCGCTGAGAAGAGCACCTGCACAGAGAACACAGTGTTAGCTCTTCTCATTAGCTTTTTAACACCAGGTGAAATAGAGGGCACTTCTGATTAGCATCATCACAAGAAGGGAGTCATTTGTTTCTGCTGTCTGGACTGTGAAGACTAGGTTAATCACTTTCTCCCCTCTCCTTACTAGGCTTCTTTTTTGTTTGTTTGTTTTGCATTATCTGGGATGCTACATTCTCTTGGTTTTCCTTCAGTGCTATTACCTAGGAGCCACAAAGGATGCTGCCACAAAGATCCTAAGTGAAGTCACTCGCCCAATGAGTGTGCATATGCCCGCAGTGAAGATCTGTGAGAAGCTGAAGAAGATGGACAGCCAGATCTGTGAGCTGAAATATGGTATAGCAAAGCCACATGTTTTCCCCAGTGTGTCGCTGAACCATGTAACACAGGGCCATGTTTTCTAAAATGTCAGTGTTAGGAAAGGCTGCGGGGCTGATGAGTGATGCCCAGAGCCACCTGAGCTTCACGGAGGGAAGAGAAATAAACAGTACTGGCAAATCAGCTCCTGGTTAAAACTGCAACCCAAATAGCAAAGTTTGAGCTCCTATGTTACTAAGGCAATGTCAGCTATGTATGTCAAAGAAAATACATAAGAAATTATTTAAAATCTCAAAACATAAGGAGAGCAGCTACAATTTAGCTTTAGTGACCTAATCAAACAAAACCTATTAAAACAAAAGCTGCATCTATTCAAAGATGATACAAAAATGTTGATGCTGGAAATGGTACCCTACCTTTCTTTTTAGGCACCTCTATACTGTCAGTTTTAAATGACAGGAAACAGGTTTTTTACATCAAGTCAAGTTTTGCCTGATGAAATGACTTATCAAGGGGTGCCTAAAATAAACAGAAATGAAAGAAAGTTGATGTTCTATTTAAAACATTATGTTTGAGGGCCAGCGCCGCAGCTCACTAGGCTAATCCTCCACCTAGCAGCATCGGCAAACCGAGTTCTAGTCCCGGTTGGGGCGCCAGATTCTGTCCTGGTTGCCCCTCTTCCAGGCCAGCTCTCTGCTGTGGCCTGGGAGTGCAGTGGAGGATGGCCCAAGTGCTTGGGCCCTGCACCCCATGGGAGACCAGGAGAAGTACCTGGTTCCCGGCTTCGGATTGGCACAGTGCACCGGCCGCAGCGGCCATTGGAGGGTGAACCAACAGTAAAGGAAGACCTTTCTCTCTGTCTCTCTCTCTCACTGTCCACTCTGCCTGTCAAAATAAAAAAAAACATTATGTTTGGCCTTCTAAATTTTACATAGATACGTCTATTCTTATACTGAGGATTTGTAACTAGCCCAGCCTCTGGGATAAATTGGTAAGTAAAAAAGGCTGGGAGACTCCACCCTCTGCCTGTCCTAACACCTGAAATTCCTCCAGTAGAGACTCACTTCTTCTGCTTAAGTCATTGTTTCATGTTACATACCAAGTATAGTATTACAAACTGTCTTTAGCATTCAACTCTGAATTATTTTAGTCTAGTTTTTTAACACAGCTGTGTAGTATGCCTGTGCACCACAGCTTCAAAGCTAGCTTTAAATAGCTTTAAAGGTACCAAAGATAACCTGTTTTTCAATTTCCAAGGCAGACCCTACCTTCCAGGGTAGTTATTATGGACAGGTATCCTTTTTATTGGCTTCAAAGTAATGAAGCAGAGGCAGAGATCACTGGGTTCACATAAACAGCATTCACAAAAGGGACAAGCCTGTGCTGACTCTTTTGTTCAACACATTTATTTTGCATAACTTTTCCTACATGAAGAGGATCTTACAGAGCTCCCAAATAATAGAAAAATCAGTCAGATATGACTGAGAGGAAATGAAGGTTTTGGCGAGGCTGGCCATTAGAAGTCCTTGGGCAGCCACGAACCAATTGTAGCTTTTGTGTTGACCTTCTCTTTGCAGTTTCAGGGTGGCTGCAGAGGGCCCCCCCACCTTTTTTTTTTTTTTTAAAGATTTATTTATTTGAAAGAGTTACAGAGAGGCAGAGAGAGATAGAGAAGCCTTCCATCCACTGGTTCACTCCCCAGATGGCTGCAACGGCTAAAGCTGTGCTAATTCAAAGCCAGGAGCCAGGAGCTTCTTCTGGGTCTCCCATGTGGGTGCAGGGGCCCAAGGACTTGGGTCATCTTCTACTGCTTTCCCAGGCCACAGCAGAGAGCTGGATCAGAAGTGGAGCAGCCGGGACTTGAACCAGTGACCATATGGTATGCCAGAGCTGCAGGCGGCGGCTTTACCTGCTATGCCACAGCGCTGACCCTGGGTTCCCCCTTTTTAAAAATGTACGCCAGCTACCAAGTTCTCTTGAAAAATCCAGCTGCTGACACTGACAGAAAAGTATTTTTCTCCTCAACCACTTATTTTGAGTAGATCAATAGTTCAAATTTCTTCTTCCCTGCTTATTTTGGTGGGAAAGATGAGAGCCAACACATGTTGAGAGCCTTTACACATGTTGGAGATTCATAATTTGGGCTATGAAAGTTTCTACTTTTAAAGGTACCCTGAGGAGTCAGCCATGAAATTAACAAGCAAGGTAAGTGTAGAGTTAGAGTATGCTCTCAGTGAAGATGGTGACATTTGGCTCTTCATTTGAAAGACTGTTCTGTTAATTTTCTTTTTTAGAAGGGTGAAGATCCTGTAACATTTTAAGTGTTTGTTTTCGGGAACACAGCGTGTAGCTGACCATCCCAATAAAAAAAAAAGCTTTAAAAGACAATTTTGAAATTTGAACACACTGGAACTTTTTGACAAATCATTTAACTGTTGAGTTTAGAATATTTGCACGTGGTATGTTGTTTTACATAGGGACAAGGAACAGATTTTAAATGAGAAGTCAAGCTGTAAAAGTCTTAGGCTGTCACTAATGAAAAAATCAACTTAAATATTGTAAACTCACATGGCAGTGGGGGAGTGACAAAGGAGATTTTCCTTTGAAAGAGGAAAATTACCTCTTTCTGTTAGAGAAATTATAGTCATCATTACATTATAAATTGCCTTATTGTTTTTCTAATATTGGACTTGTCAATAGAAATCTTAATATTTTCTGCAGAGAATCTGTAAGCAGGGAAACAGTAATCTTGCTAGAAGAGTTAGTTGTTAGTGACAAGTGTCATTAGGACCAATGGCAAGAGCTAGGTTGGCTGGCACCGAAGCACTAGCATTGGAGAAGGGTTGGGATAATTTGGTAATAACAGCGGGGGCATGGCATCAGGTGAGCTTAAACAGAGATCCAAAATAATTAAGGCTCAGTGGAAAAGCTCCTAATTTTATTATGTATGGATTTCTTTACATGCTTATTGAAAACCCAAGAGTGGTTTTTTGTTTTTGTTTTTGTTTTTGTTTGACAGGCAGAGTGGACAGTGAGAGAGAGAGACAGAGAGAAAGGTCTTCCTTTTTCTGTTGGTTCACCCCCCAATGGCCGCTGCAGCCAGCGCGCTGCAGCCGGCACACGGCGCTGATCCAAAGCCAGGAGCTAGGTGCTTATCCTGGTCTCCCATGCGGGTGCAGGGCCCAAGCACTTGGGCCATCCTCCACTGCCCTCCCGGGCCACAGCAGAGAGCTGGCCTGGAAGAGGAGCAACTGGGACAGAATCCGGCGCCCCGACCGGGACTAGAACCCGGAGTGCTGGCACCACAGGCAGAGGATTAGCCTACTGAGCTGCGGCATCGGCCCCAAGAGTGTTTTGTAATGTGTTTGCTCATCTGTCTTACTGAAGATGGTCCTATGGGCAAAAGTGAACCGTAACCTGCTGGTTAACTATGATTTATGGCTTTTAGTTGGCCACAACCATGGCCCTCCAAAGGCACAGCTTTTTATGGATTTCCTTCTTTTTACTTTAGGAGCATAATTAGGATGTGGTGCTAGTTGCTTTAATAATGCTGATCTTGTGAATCCTTGGGGTGGTAACACACTCAAGCAAATAAGATCCCTGGGAAAGAAAGTTGAATAGAACACAAATTATTCTGATAGCTTGGTAAAGTTGTCTTTTGATACCCCATGGGGAACTGGCTCCAGGCTACTCCAATCTGTAGATGCTTAAGTTTCTTATATAAAATGGTGCATATCTGCATTTAACCTAGGTACTTCCTTGCACGTACTTCAAATCTTCTCTAGCTGACTTCCAGGACCTAATACAATGTAAATACTATGCAAATATCTGTCATTTTGCATTGTTTAGGGAATGATGAGAACAAAGTCTGTACACATTCAGGACAGAGGCAATGTTTCTATCTGAATATTTTTGACCTGTGGTTGATTGAGTCTGCAGATATGGAATCCGCAGATATGGAGGGCTGGCTGTATATATCATATTTTCTTTAGGGTATGTTTTGGTTTCCATGGAAATTGAAACCGTTCCCCAATTTGGACCATAGGTCAGCATTGAGATAAGCAATACCATATGCTTCTTTAAGTGTTTCATAGGGTTTTATGATTTAATTTTTTTCAATTATGCTCTTTTTTTGGCATTTAGAAAAGAAATTGGACTTGGCATCAGCTGACCTGTGGAAGATGAGAGTAGCAGAACTGAAACAGATACTGCGGAGCTGGGGGGAAGAGTGCAGGGCTTGTGCAGAGAAAACTGACTATGTGAACCTGATCAAAGAACTGGCCCCCAAGTATGCAGCGATGCACCCTCAGACAGAACTCTGACCACGGACACCAGCACCCATCAACCGTACTTAGAGAAAAATGACTCTCTGGGATATGGACATGCTGCTTAAGGACGACTGGGAATTGCACTGTTTGGTCTTATAGTTTTTGTCTTGATATTATACCTCAGAATTTTGGTAGTTGTGTTGAAGAGTAAAACTTCCAGTGTTGCATTGTACATTTGTAGTGCACCAAAACCTCCAAGTGCCTTCTAAAATAGGGGAAAGTGAGCTACTAAGACTGATCGAATAAGATGGTTCTAAGAAGCAAAGAAGGCTTCTGTCCATGCACAACTTTTTTTTATTAAATATATTGGACTAGGACAAAAGAAACAATGTTTAGCTTACCTAATGCAGACTTCAACCCTAAACAATAATTTAGTATGTTTAAATATTTTTTAGAGTAAACTTTGTATTTTCAACTGCAAATCACTGTACATTCTAGCTCTCTTCTTTCCTATCTAAGACTTTAAATCTTGTAACTCTTGTAAGTATCAGTGATGTTTTGGCAGATTTTGTTGATATTCAGATTGCTAAGTTGATGAAGCTCAAGGTCTTTTTCATTTTTCTCTTGCACATATCAGACAAGCTTGTCATAGACAAAGCATATTAAGAGCATCTGCAGGCAACATGGAACTTTATGGTTCTTAACCATATTTTATCAACTTTAAATTGTAAAATCATTTTTAGTTCTATTTTCCAGCCACATAAGAAACTAAGGAAGAAATACTTATCTTTGGGCCGGCACTGTGGTGTAGTGGACTAAGCTTCTGCCTGTGGCACCGGTTCAAGTCCCAACTGCTCCTCTTCTGATCCAGCTCTCTGCTGTGGCCTGGGAAAGCAGTAGAAGATGGCCCAAGTCCTTGGGCCCCTGCACCCACGTGGGAGACCTGGACGAAGAACCTGGCTTCAGATGGGCTCTGCTCTGGCCATTGTGGCCATCTGGGGAATGAACCTGCAGATGGAAGACCTTTCTCTCTGTCTCTCTCTCTCTCTGTAACTCTACCTCTCAAATAAATAAATAAAATCTTAAAAAAAGAAATGCTTATCTTTGTGTGGTGCATGGAGGTGGGGAATGACAGAGGAACAGTGTTCCCATGGAACCTTCTGGGGTGATGGCAATGTCCTGTACCTTGATTGGAGTGGTGGTTATATGGATGACCACCACTGTCAAACTCATCTAGTGGTACAGTTAAGATCTGGACATATTATTGTATGTAAATTACATGTAAGAGAACTGCTATAGAATCATTATTTGAAAATCAACTAAAATTAATTGACGCAAATACACTGTCAAGAATTGTGTTTACTGACAGTCCCTTTTGGAGAGTAGAGGAGAAATTTTCCAGACAAAGTATATATTGAAAGTGGAGTTTTCACTTTTAAATGCTGCAGAGGTAGAATTTTCAGCTGGGCAGTTCAGATGTAACCAAATTTGTCAGAGAATTGATGGTTCTTAAGGAGATATGTATATTATGTAACTGAAAGTAATAATAAAAATATTTGGTGTAATGTATGGCCAAAAGTGATGACTGCTTCTGGATTTTGGCTGCTTAATCATCACGTGTAATGCATCTACTTTTTTTTATTTATTTTTAAGATTTATTTATTTATTTGAAAGTCAGAGTTACACAGAGAGAAGGAGCGGCAGAGAGAGAGAGGCCTTCCATCCGCTAGTTCACTACCCACATGGCCGTGATGGCTGGAGCTGGGACGATCTGAAGCCAGCAGCCAGGAGCTTTTTCTGGGTCTCCCACGTGGGTGCAGGGCCCAAGGACTTGGGCCATCTTCCATTGCTTTCCCAGGCCATAGCAGAGAGCTGGACTGGAAGAGGGGCAACCGGGACAGAATCCGGCACCCCAACCAGGACTAGAACCCAGAGTGCTGGTGCCACGGGCAGAGGATTAGCCAAGTGAGCCATGGCACTGGCCCTGAGCCAGCTTCTTTAAGGTGTATATGCCCTTCTATCTTCTTCACCCCCAGAACCACCCCCATGTCCCACTTAAAACTCTAATCGCATGCCAGAACTTAATCACATGCCAAACTTGGCTGCAAGGGAGTTTAGGAAATAAAACTCTAATCGCATGCCAGAACTTAATCACATGCCAAACTTGGCTGCAAGGGAGTTTAGGAAATTACATTTTGGGTTGGGCTCATTGATAAAATCAGGAATTTGTTATTGTTGCTATGACTGGGGCAGAAGGTAGAAACATGGCCACAAACCATCTCTGCCACATAGTGTAAATTTTTCCTTAGCATGACTCTTAGTTATAATTCTGGTTATCAAACTCCAAATAACTCTTCATTCTTCTCGTTGCTTATATTTTACATAGATATAAGCAATTCTATTTTTCCTCATTTTTTTTAAAAAAAGATTTATTTATTTTTATTTGAAAAGTAGAGTTAGAGAGAGAGAGAGATCTTCCATCCAATGGGTTCAATTCCCAAATGGCCACAAAGTCTAGGGCTGGGCCAGGTCAAAGCCAGGAGCCCAGAAATCCATCCAGTCTCCCATGTGGATGGCAGAAACCCAAACAAGTGAGCCATCTTCCTCTGCTTTCCCAACACAATAGCAGGGAGTTGAATTAGAAGTGGAGCAGCCAAGACTTTAACCAGTGCTTATATGGGCTGCCAGCATCACAGACAGTGGTTTAACCTGCTGGGCCACAATGCTGGCCTCTTTCCTTGTGTTTTGAATTTGACAAGAATTGAGTACAGTTTTCCTATTTTATTTTCATTTAAAATTACTTCTTATCTCATGGGGCATTGTGTTTGTGTATGTATGTGTGTGTTTTACCCCAAATCTGTAAGCATTCATGAGTTAGAATTCAAGATATTCTTTAAAAAGTGACAAAACTCTGAAAGGCTTTCATCTAAATTGTACTAGTCTTAGACAGACATTGCTCTTGACCTACTCTGGATTTCAAAAATTCCAACCAAGGGGCTGGTGCTGTGGTGTAGGGGATTAAGCCACCACCTATAAGTGCTGACATCCCATGTGGACACCACTTGAAGACCTGGCTGCTCTCCCTCCTATCCAGCTCTCTGCTATGGCCTGAGAAAGCAGTAGAAGAAGGCCCAAGTCCTTAGGCCCTGGCACCCACGTGGGAGACCTGGAAGAAGCTCCTGGCTCCTGGCTTCGGATCAGCGCAGCTCTGGCCATTGTAGCCAATTGGGGAGTGAACCAGCAGATAGAAGACTTCTCTTTCTCTGACTCTCCTTCTCTCTGTGTGTAATTCAGACTTTCAAATAAAATAAATAAATCTTTAAAAAATTCCAAACAAAAGACTCATCATTTTGGCTTGTAAATAAATATGAGATCAGATATAACATTTAGAGTACATATGGAAAGTTGTAGTTTTTCATTTGCATATGAATGATTTATAATTCACATTCCACAAAGAAGTTTTAAATCTTGACCAAATTAGCTCAGCATATAGGACAAGAAAATATTTTATTAGTAGATCTTTAAAAAAACACTAATGCATTTTATGATGCAAAGGCCTTGTCTGAATTTGTGCCTCTCTTAATAAGTGCCTTTTCTATGCACATAGCTGGCTGTGTTTATCCTGGAGGTCTCATCCGAAAGAAATTACTGCAAGAGAGTCATTTTTTTTTCAATGTGTTTGAAATAGACCATTCCACACAAAGAGAAATTCTTTTGGACATTCTATCATTCTGATATTAGAAACTTTTAGAATTTTATTTTAGTGCCTTTCCCCGTTTTAGTTTATTTTGGATCTTTTTTGTTTTCCTTTTTTATTAGTGGCTATCATTTATTTTAGCTTTTTTCCCTTCAAAAATAATATTTATTGAGTGGACATTTGGTGCAATGGTAGAGGTTTAGCTAATCTGAAAGATTTCTGCTAATGAATATATGTTTTAAAAAGCAAGAATTCTTTGATGGAAAATACCAATTTCTAAACTCTGACAGGGATCATAAAAGAAAGCTGCGGGTGTAAGAAAGAAGCAAAAGCTTGTGGAAAATTTGAGACCTTTTTTTTTTAGGAACAATTAATATTCCAGTAGCTGGCAGAGCCTCCCTTTTATCTTCCTTAAATCATAGCATTTCCCTCTGCAGCCACATGGGGCAGCTGTGGCCCTTTTATGAAGCACCCCAACTTCACTGTGGGAATGGGTAAAATTGTGCTCATGCTGTTTTCTTGAAATGCCCAGTTGCTACCTAGATAAATATTTTAATGTAAAAAAGTACATGTTCACATAAATGAAAGTTTCAAAGACAAAAATATGAAGAAATAAACATTACCGAAGTCTGTTTGCCAAAAATTTGTAATAAAATGAATAAAAACTACTGCCTTATACACTGTCTTTACCAGTAAGTGATGAATTAGTATAAATTGTAATTTAAATGCCCACTTCAGATTTCCCACCTAGCTGATGGCAGATTTTATCCTGATGCAAATATTTTCAAGGCAAGTCACAGTCCAATAATTTTGTTATTTTCTTGCTGAAATGTGATGACATGCATGAAATTTTAGGTTAACTTCAGGAATGTTGAGAAATAAAATTTTTCAATTCCCTAAGAAAAAGCTTCAATATTTCTTGCAAAGGAATTGTACCCCAAATTATTTCACTCTTACAATAACATTCTGAAATAGAAACATTTCCCAGAAGATTGTTTTTCTACGGTAAAGCTTGGCTTATCCTGTTGTGCTTTTCTTTAAACATTTTAAAAACCTTATTAACAAAAATAATACATATTTATGGGGTATGGTATGACATTTCTTTGTTCTTCTTTGTATTCCTAGGAGCAATTTTAAGATTTGAGATTTAACCATTTTTAACATTTTGCTATATCCACTTCATGTGTAGATATTATATAAATACAGATATACACAATTTTTCTTGACAACAGGGATATCAACATCACATAATGTAGGATTCATGGCAATGATCATAAAGTAAGGAAAGAAGAATGTAGTGTCACATAGATGATATAATTCAGTGAAGATAATATTTATAAACATCTGTATACCAAATAATAGGACATCCACACAGCCTTTATAGTCTCTACATTAACTTCTACATATGAAAAAAAAAATGTGGTGTTTGTCTTTCTTCGTTTGGCTTATTTCACTTAGCATGATGATCTCCAGTTCCATCCATTTTGTTGCAAATGTCAGGATTTCATTATTTTTTTGGCTGAGTAATATTCCATCACATATATATCTACACACTACATTTTCTTTTCCAATCACCAGTTGCTATTTTGAATAAATTGTTTGTTTGTTTGACAGGCAGAGTGGACAGTGAGAGAGACAGAGACAGAGAGAAAGGTTTTCCTTTGCCGTTGGTTCACCCTCCAATGGCCGCCACAGCTAGCGCACTGCTGCCAGCGCACCGCACTGATCCGAAGCCAGGAGCCAGGTGCTTCTCCTGGTCTCCCATGCGGGTGCAGGGCCCAAGCACTTGGGCCATCCTCCACTGCACTCCTGGGCCATAGCAGAGAGCTGGCCTGGAAGAGGGGCAACCGGGACAGAATTCGGCTCCCCGACCGGGACTAGAACCCGGTGTACCAGTGCCGCACGCGGAGGATTAGCCTATTGAGCCGCGGCGCCAGCCTGAATAAATTGTTCTTATAAGTTCTTCCTTGCCAGATCATTGTGGGTATATAAAAATGCTATTGATTTTTATGTGTTGATTTTATATCTTGCAACTTTACTAAATTATCTTATTAGTTCTAATAGTTTCTCTTTTTTGTTTTTTTAAAAAGAGATTTATTTATTTACTTATTTAAAAGAGTTACAGAGAGAGGGGGAAAGACTGAAAGAGAAAGGGATCCTCCATCCACTGGTTCACTCCCCAATGTCACAATGGCCATGGCTGGGCCAGGCTGAAACCAGAAGCCAGTAGTTTTATCTTTGTCTCCCATGTGGATGGCAGGGGCCCAAACACTTGGCCATCTTCTGCTGCTTTTCCCAGGCCATTAGCAAGGATCTGGATCAAAAGTGGAAAAGCCAAGATATGAACTGGCACCCATATCAAGTGCCAGTGTTGAAGGTGGCAGCTTTATCTACTATGCCATAATGCTGGCCCTTCTAATAGTCTCTTGGCAGAGTCTTTTTTTTAAGCTTAATTTTTTAGGATTAACATATTTTTAATCCACATTATAGTCAAAGGTTTAATGGCTATACTGAATAAGTGTAAAACAAAAAGTAAAAATAACATAGTTTAACAAGAAAATAGGCCAGGGCTATAAACAATAATCAAAGGAAAAATGTTCAACTTCACTCATATAAAGTGCGTTTTTAAATAGTCACAAAAACATTAAAACTATAATAGCATATAATTCCTATCATTTGTTTGACAAAGATTGAAATCAGTTTAACAAAGCACTGTATTTGCAGCAAAACTGATACACATAGTCACCTCTCTCTTTTATTAATTTTAGCTCCCACATATAAGAGAGAACTTGTGGTATTTGTCATTTTGTGTCTGACTTATTTCACTCATCATGGGAGTCTCCAATTCTAACCATTTTGCTGCAAATGATCGAACTTTATTCTTTTTCTATAGCTGAATAATACTTCACTGTGTGTATATACCACCTTTTTTTTTTTTTTTTTTTTTTTTTTTTTTTTTTTTTGACAGGCAGAGTGGACAGTGAGAGAGAGAGAGACAGAGAGAAAGGTCTTCCTTTTGCCGTTGGTTCACCCTCCAATGGCTGCCGCGGCCGGCGCAGCGCGCTGATCCGATGGCAGGAGCCAGGAGCTTTTCCTGGTTCACCCTCCAATGGCCGCCACAGCTAGCGCACTGCTGCCAGCGCACCGCACTGATCCGAAGCCAGGAGCCAGGTGCTTTTCCTGGTCTCCCATGGGGTGCAGGGCCCAAGCACCTGGGCCATCCTCCACTGCACTCCCTGGCCACAGCAGAGAGCTGGCCTGGAAGAGGGGCAACCGGGACAGAATCCGGCGCCCCGACCGGGACTAGAACCCGGTGTGCCAGCGCCGCAAGGCGGAGGATTAGCCTAGTGAGCCACGGCGCCAGCCTATACCACCTTTTCTTTATCCACTTATCTGATGATGGAATCCTTGGTTGGTTCCATATTGTAGTTATTGTGAGCAATGTTACTATAAACGTGGTGGAACAGGTAACTGATACAATGAGTTCATGTCTTCTAGGGGTATACTCTGTAATGGAAATGCTGGATCATATGGCGGGTCTATGTCTCGTTTTTAAGGAAATCTCCATACTGTTTTCCACAGTGGCCACACTAATTTACATTTTCACCTACAATGTTAAAGAATTCCCTTTTCTCCATATGCTTTCCAGCATTTGTCACTCTACATCTTTTGGATAATAGGCATTCTGACCTCATCGTGATTTTGATTTACATTTCCCTGATGGCTAGTGATACTGGGCATTTTTTCATGTGCTTTTTGGTCATTTTAAAAAAGATTTATTTAGCTGGTGCTGTGGCGTAGTAGTTAATCCTGCACCTGTGGCACCAACATCCTATATGGGTGCTAGTTCTAGTCCCTGTTGCTCCTCTTCCAATCCAACTCTCTGCTATGGTCTGGGAAAGCAGTAGATGATGGCCCAAGTGCTTGGGCTCCTGCACCCATGCAGCTCTGGCCGTTGTGGCCATTTGGGAGTGGACCAACGGAAGGAAGACCTTTCTCTCTCCCCCTCTCCCTCTCACTGTCTGTAACTCTACCTCTCAAATAAATAAATAAAAAAGAGTTACAGATAGAGAGAGAGAGAACATGCAAAAGAGCAGGCAAGCGCTTCAGATCTTCTACTAGTTGTCATCCCCCAAATGGTCAAACAGCTGCAACAGCTGGAGCTGGGCCAGGACAAAGCCAGGAGGCAAAAACTCCATCCAAGTCTCCCACATGGATCAAATACTTGAGCCATTTTCCACTACTTTTCCAGGTGCATTAGCAGGGAGCTGGATTGGAAGTGGAGTAGCCAGGACTTCAACCATCATTCATGGGATGCCATGTTGCAGGTGGAAACTTAACTTGCTGTACCACAATGCCAGGCCCTTTGCTGGCCATTTCTGTTTCTTCTTTTGAGAACTGTCTATTCAGATCCTTTGCCATTTAATTTTTGTTTTTGAGTTTTTTTTTTTTTTTGAGTTGCTAATATATTCTGGATATTAATCCTTTGTCAAATAAGTAGCTTGCAAATATTTCCTCCCATTCTGTCAGATGTCTCTTCACTCTATTGATTGTTTCCTTTGCGTAGAAGCCTCTGAATTTGATACAATCCTATTACCTGGTTTTACTGCATGTGCTTTGGGGTTCTTAGACAAGAAGTCTTCACCCACACCAATGTCTTGAATGGATTTCCTGTCGCTCCCCCTCTTCGTGGAGGAACGACACAGGACCCTGCACTGTTCTTTCGTCTGCTCGGCCCTCCCCGGGTTTGCTGCTGGTTCTTCCCGGGTTGGCTACTATCCCTTCCACCTCCGTGGGAGGGCAGTTCCCCCTGGCCACATTCCCCACTTCCGCAGGGGAGCGGCACACCGCCGGCCGGCTCTCTCGGGGGCTGCACAGGTGTTCCCTCAGATGTTCCCCTTAGATGTTCCCTTTAGATGTTCCTGGTGCATGCCATCTCTCTCCTCCTTTATAGTCCTCCTCCGCCAATCCTAACTCGGCTGCCCACACGCCGAGTACGCTGCTCTCCAATCAGGAGCAAGTCCTACAGTTTATTGGTTGAACTGGAGGCAGCTGTGCGGAAGCTGTTTACTTCTCTCCCAGCGCCATATTGTGGGAGAGCAGATGCATAGAATAAGTCTTAATTCCAGTAACTCAGTCCAGTCCGGGCTGCTCCCCACAATTTCCCTATAATTTTTTGCTGCAATCTATAGTCTCAGGTCTTAAAGTTAGATCTGTGATCCATCTTGAGTTGAATTTTGTATATAGTGAGTGGTAGGAATCTATTTTCATTCTTCTACTAATATAGTCCAGTTTTGCCAGCACCACTTGTTAAAAAGACTTTCCTTTTTCCAATGTATGTTCTGGGCACTTCTGTCAGAAATCAGGTATTCAATTTCCCCCTTCAGCTTTGTAAACTATATATGTCCTGAAATATATACATTTTTCTAGATTTTTAATTTATTGACTTATGGTTGTTCATAATAGTTCCTAATGATTCTTTGTATTTCTGTGGTATCAATTGCAATAATCTTTTTGTAATCTGATTTTATTGATTTGAATTTCTCTTTGTAGTTGATTTTTCTGCCTAAATTTTATGTTTTACTTTTTCCAAAAAAAAGCTCTTCATTAATATTTTATATTTAAAAAAATTTCTGGCCGGCGCCGCGGCTCACTAGGCTAATCCTCCGCCTAGCGGCGCCGGCACACCGGGTTCTAGTCCCGGTTGGGGCGCCGGATTCTGTCCCGGTTGCCCCTCTTCCAGGCCAGCCCTCTGCTGTGGCCAGGGAGTGCAGTGGAGGATGGCCCAGGTGCTTGGGCCCTGCACCCCATGGGAGACCAGGAAAAGCACCTGGCTCCTGGCTCCTGCCATTGGATCAGCGCGGTGCGCCGGCCGCAGCGCGCCGGCCGCGGCGGCCATTGGAGGGTGAACCAACGGCAAAGGAAGACCTTTCTCTCTGTCTCTCTCTCTCACTGTCCACTCTGCCTGTCAAAATAAATAAATAAATAAATAAATATATATAAAATAATTAAAAAAAATAAAAAAATTTCCATATTGTTTATTTCTCTCCTAATTTTATTATTTCTTTCCTACTACTAATTTTGGATTGGACTTTTTCTTGTTTTTACAAGTCCCTGAGATTCATTATTAATTATTTATTTGATACCTTTCCATTTTCTCAATACAGGCACTTATTTCCATAAAACTTTCTCTTAACACTGCTTTTGCTATATCTCACAAGTTTTAATATTTTGTGTTTCCATTTCCATTAATTTCAATGAATTTAAAATTTTCCTTTTGCTTTCTTCAGTGACCCACTATTCATCCAGGAGCATGTTGTTCAGATTCCTTGTATTTGTGTACTTTCTAGAGTTTCTTTTGTTGAAAATTTCCAGCTTTTTCCATTTTGACCAGAAAACTACATATGATTCCTTTATTTTGAATTTGCTGAAACTTGTTTTATGAACTAGCATCTGGTCTATACTAAATGTTCCATGCACTGATGAAAAGAGGGTGTATTCTGCAGCTGTAAGTTGAAATGTTTTGTGGCTAGCGTTGTGGCACAGTGGGTAAAGCCGCTGCCTGCAACACCAGCATCCTAGAAGGACACTGGTTCCTGTCCTAGCTGCACAGCTTCAGACCCACTTCCTTACTAATGCTCTGTGAAAAGCAGTGGAAGATGGCCCAAGTGTTCGGGCCCCTGCCACCCATGTGGGAGACCTGAATGAAGCTCTTGGCAACTGGTTTCAGCTTGGCCCAGCACTGCATGTTGTGGCCATCTGGGAAGTGAACCAGCAGATGCAAGATCTTTCTCTGTAACTCTTACTTCTAAAATAAGTAAATAAATATTTAAGAAAAATGATCAAATATTTTGTTAATGTATAATAGGTCCTTTTTTTCTACAGTATAAACTTTAAAAAAATTTTTTTTTAATTTATTTATTTGAGAAATAGAGCTACAGACAGAGAGAGGGAGAGACAGAGAGAAAGGTCTTCCATTTGCTGGTTCACTCTCCTCATGGCCACAACAGCAACAGCTGCATGGATCTGAAGCTAAGAGCCAGAAGCTTCCTCCGGGTCTTCCCACGTCGGGGCAGGGGCCCAAGCACTTGGGCCATCTTCTACTACTTTCCCAGGCCACAGCAGAGCTGGATCAGAAGTGGAGCAGCCAGCTCGATCCATTGCCCATATGGGATGCCGGTGCTATAGGCAGAGGCTTAGCCTATGATGCCACAGTGTCAGCCCTGATAAAGTTTTTGTTGTATTTTTGTCTGGTTGATCTGTCCATTGCAAAAAATGGGTTGTGTGGCCGATGCTGTGGCTCACTAGGCTAATCCTCCACCTGCGGCGCCAGCACCCCGGGTTCTAGCCCAGGTTGGGGGGCGCTGGATTCTGTCCCGGTTGCTCCTCTTCCTGTCCAGCTCTCTGCTATGTCCTGGGAGTGCAGTGGAGGATGGCCCAAGTGCTTGGGCCCTGCACCTGCATGGGAGACTAGGATAAGCACCTGGCTCCTGGCTTCAGATCGGTGCAGTGCGCCGGCCGCAACGCATCGGCCGTAGTGGCCATTTTGGGGGGGTGAACCAATGGAAAATGAAGACCTTTCTCTCTGTCTCTCTCTCTCACTATCCACTCTGCCTGTCAAAAGAAAAAATTTTTCAAGGAAAGAGAAAAAAGAAAAAAAGAAAAAAGAAAAAAAAATGGGTTGCTAATATCAGTTTATGTCTCCCTTTTGATCTATTAACATTTGTTTGGTAAAGTTGGGTACTTTGGTATTAAGTACATATGCAATTACAATAGTCATATCTTGTTGAATTTATCCCTTGATAATTTGTTTCTCTTAACAGTTTTTGTCTAAAAGTCTTTGATGTAAGTATATATATTACTGCTTTTTTTTATTTCCATTTGCAGAGAGTCTCTTTTTCCTTCCTTTCACTTTAAGTCTGTATGTGTCTACTGGTGAAGTGTGCTTCTTGCAGGCAGCACATA